TACCTCCTCTCTCTCTCTCTCTCTCTCTCTCTCTCTGTTCACATTCCTCCACCAGCTATCGGTAAAACGGAATTCGTGACGATCGGATGATATACCCGGTCTAGAATTTCCGTTTCATTAACCGATCTCTCTAAACAGAATGCAGGAATCTACCTCTCCTCTTTCCTTTATTTATCTTTGCCGTTTATATTCTTCGCTTCGATTCGAGTGGAAGAGAAGCGCGTCTAATTTGATAAACGAGGAAAATGTTTGGCTTCAATTTTTGATCGCGATAAGAATAACAGAACAGAGGGGAAAGCTATTACGAAGAAATATTAAGTAACCTAATCTATAAATAAAAGATCGAATGAACACTGGCTAATAATATACCAGCCAATCTATATATATATACATAATAAAGTATCTATGTAAATTCCATTCCAGTCATCTCCATTGGATCCACAGAGATTCAAATTTCAAGTTTATACCGATTGAAGTTTACGATCCGATCCTTCGAACGGATCATCCTTTCGTCTCACGTTTCGTAAACTTGCGACGAATAAACCGTGAATCGATATTTTTTTCCATGTTTATTTTTGCCCTCTCCGCAAATGTATCGACACGGAAAAAAGAAGAAAAATATCGGATTCTATAAACCCGTGGGCTAATTTCTCTTTCGTCCCACACGCTTCGTCACCAGCTTCTTCACGCATCCCCAACCACGGTTCGGATTGTTCCATCATCGACGATCGCGCACGATACGATAAAGAGGCAGCACAGTTCTCATATTCGCCGGTTAGAGACACGCCAGGGCGCCAAGTCGTCGCCGCGTCAGCTTGGCATCGCATCGAGCCTCTCCGCGATGAGATTCGTTTGGCATTCGTTCGTCTCGATTTTAGACGAATATAGACACCAATAGTCAACAATATATATATACACAGATTTGTGTAGGTCGAGTAGTACTCGTGGGAAATCGGCTTTTGTCCCCCATGGTTCGGCGTTGTCGACTTCCTCCGCCGGTGTTTCCTCCATCGTTAACGAGCGACCTGATAAAACCATGGCAAGTCCGTATCTGTCTATGTAGCGGCAATAAATCAAGTACCATCGCCGCTCGGCGCACAGGACACTTCGTTAATGAGCTCAACACTCGGTAGGTCGAGAAAGGCGTTGCCGCGTGCCGCTTTCACGAACCGTTCGCCACGACCGAGCCGGCCAACAAAAATTCTCACCCCGTTTTTCTTCCCTCCTTTTCCATCCCGGCCCACACTTCTTCTTCTCCTGACTGAAACTCATCGGCCGGAGAAGAAGAAGAAGGTGTTTGTTTTCGTCTAACGAAGAAATTGGATAAGATTTTCTTTGTTTGTTTGTTTAAGGTTTTGTAAATGAGAGAGAATTGATCGAAGTAAGTGAGGATACGTGTCGAGTATTGAATAAGTATTGGATAAATATTGATAATATCGATAAAATATAAATGTAATAATATTTGGCCTGAATACGTAATCCAGATAAGATCGAATCGCGTCAATTAGGATGAAATGATTGGACGAGAGACAAAGATTAATATCGAAGGAGACGATGGGGAGGATGGTTGGAATAGTTCCAAATTTGGAAAGTTGGTAACTATCAATTGTATATATTTTTTTTTTATATTTATATTCTTTCGATTATAACGTTTTTTCTTAATGTTTAAAAAAATAATTTTTTTTTTATTGTTTGTCTCTTTTTCGTTTGCGAGATTCCCAATTGGCGAAGCAAGCTTTGATTATCAAAGCAATTAAAACGTGAACAATATCTCGCGTTTCTGAATAGGACATTATATTCCAAATGAAATATTCGATATTAATAATTATATTATAATAATTGTACGTACCTATAATATTCGTTATTTATCGTGCAAATTTAATAATCATGTTGTATGATTGAAACAAAATAATATGTATTGTAAAACAAATTTTATCGAAAATAATTGTCAGTGAAAAAATATTACATCAATCACTGCCGGGGAAAATATAATTATTCGTAAATCATATTATCGATTAATACTTCGGGCAAAATGTTACATTTTGTATTGATTTAAAAGATATCCAATTTATCGATCGAGAAATGTTTATTAATTTCTTGTTAATCATATCATTAATAAATAAATTATACCTACTTTTCATAAATATTTATTATTCAAAAATATTTCCAATTATTTCTCGATTCATTTCTTAATCCAAAATGTTTGTCCACAACGTGAAATTTTTAAAAACTCTATAGCCCGGTGTACAGTGAATAAATAAATCAACGCAATAAAACAACCATAAATTATCTATATCTTGTAAAATAATCCTTTCACATCTAGAAGAAATATCTTCTATCAAGATATTTTCTTCTTCTTCTTCTTCTTCTTCTTCTTCTTCTTCTTCTATGACAAACTTTTAAAAACTTGATAAATCTTACTCTTTCCAACAATTCGCTCGAATTTGATCAATCGTGGGCGAAAAAAATAAATCGGCTAAAAGCGATCACGACGAGGCGAACAGATTCAGCTTTCTGATCAATTCTCACGGGCGGGCTCGTGAAAATTGCAGGAATTGTTTCGAAGAGCGACCCGGTCGTGGACGTAATATCGATGGATGTAGAATCGTTATGGGAAAACAATAAAGCCAGATCACCCTTGTAAGCCCCGCGCTACATCCTACAGCTTTCTCGTTTCTATCGTTGAAGCATCGTTGGTAGGAATTCATGGGAATGGCGCGGAAGAGAAGCGTGGCGCGTCTTTTACGTATTCGGATAAAACGACTCGTCATCCACGATATTTGAAATAATATCACGAGGCGTAGGATCTCGAATCGTGGATGTACGGCACGTAGAAACTTTCCTCGCGTATGAAATATACCACACTGCGCAATTCCATTTGCCTTTGCCGCGCTTCGTTTAATCGAGAGAGGCCTTTTCACCGATCTCGATAATCCCACCCACGTTCAATTATTTCATAATTATCTCATTAATTAATCAGTTTCTTTTTCGCGAAAATTATATTTATAAAAATAGATTCTTTGATTCTTTTCCGATTAATTTATTATATTCCAGTCGTATGTACGTACGCGATTCATAGAAAAAATCGTTAATTTGATTAACGATTCTTTTTTTCCTTCCTTTATATAAGAATTACGGTGGCCTTTCAAATTAAATTATTCGTATTACGAGCGTATGATTCGTAGAAAAAAATGAGCGAGTTGGTTTTTCAGTGTTTTGAAACGTTGAAGTTATTGACAGATATTTCTTTTTCTGTTTCAGGTATGTATTGCAAATCTTGGAAACATTAGCATAAATGAGTCACCGGTATAAGATGAAACTTGCATTATTTGTTACAAGGTGAGATTTCCTTTTCATCATTCCTACCTATTTCCGAACAACGTTCACGTAATATTTGCAAAATGATCACGATTAAGCTCGAGCAAATTCGTGGAAGTTAGGTAACATCGATGGAAATTCTTGTTGCGAAATCTTCTCATTCTCATCACTTTTCTAAGAAATATTTTATATAAAAGTATATCCTTATTTATTTATTAATATATCGCTATTTCAATTTAATTAAAAACGAACAGCAAATATGAAAGCAACGCGAAAATTATTATTTTCCTTTCCAATAAGTCGAGTTTCTAATATGTTAAATAATCAATTACGAGATAACATTAATTCATTATGTAAATACTATTAAATGTCTTAAACACGATATTTTTAAATTAGTTCCTTCTTAATTTTTAATACATTTTTTCCCTCATCGTTTATTTTCAAATTACACTGTTCGTTTCAATTACAAGAAAAGAAGAAAATTAATAAAATTACTACGATACCTTTTTTTTCTTTTTTAATACATATACTCGTTTACATCTAATTAAAAATATCCCGCCTGAAAATCTAATATCGACAAATTCGTAACTGCCGATATAATCCAATCTGTGCCAATGTTATCCAGTTTACGATATACCGACGTATCGAGAAATATTGTATCGAGGTAACGTGTACGCAAACCGATCGATCGCTAATTGACAACGTTCGAGAAAACGTACACGGCGAGCAGAACTCGTGTTACGAATTCGCGGGTCGGCTTACAACTCGGTTTTACTTTTAATTAGCGATAAAACGTTAACGTAAGACTTTATTTCTCTCTCTCTCTCTCTCTCTCTCCCTTCCTCCCTCTTCTTCCTCCCCTTCCCCTAAGGAAAAGGTGACACCGAGGGCCTCGGCGCACCTGTGCAATGACACTCGACGACGTATACTTCCTCCTCGTTATGTCCGCACTGTCATACACTTTCTTCTGGTTTCGAGGTGAAACGATCGAGAGGCCATTCCACGCTTCCGTTTCTTCTCGTTTTCCCCCGATTCGAGTTTCACGGCGGTGGGAATATTTGTAATCTTCCCTTTTATAATTTTGTTTGCCCTCGTGTTTACTCCCCTCCTCCCCCCCCCTGTAATTTCTATTATTTGCGTTCAATCGTGTGTGCGCATTTTGATCCGAGGCGGAGGAGGAGAAGGGAAAATAATCTTTCGCTCGCGCGAATTTTTCGATCGATCGAGTGAAAGCAAGCGTATTGTATTTGCGATCGATTAACTCGTTCTCTTGAAGCCGGTTCGCGTTCTGCTAGTTCGTCGAAGTAATGATCTCTCGTTGAACAACTCGTAACCGATTAAATATCGATCGATTGATCGAATTTTAAATCGGCGGGGGGTCACTCCCATTCTCATTCTCTCGAAGAAAAATAATCGAGTTTATTTTGTTCGAACGATTCGATCGAGATTAAGAAGTTTCTAAGTTAATTTAAAATTGAAATTAAAATCTTCCGTTTAGCGATGTTGGAGAAAGATGTTGAAGTTGAATAAAATAAATGAAAATAAATGAAGATATATATATATATATATGTATAATTTAAAAAAAAAAAAAACTTGGAAAACTCGTTTAAGAGACGGAGAAAGAAGAGAGAGTTAACTTGATATCTCGAAACGAGTACAAGTAAAATTGTTGATCCGAAACCGATGGTGTATAAGAAGTGTACGTATACGTTTTATCATGTTGTAAAAATAGCTATATAATAAAGATGAACGAAACGAAAATGGGGATTATTTAAATTCGATTAAGGAACGATCGAGGAGGAATTATCGAATCGTATCTATCTCCTCGATAGACACGACCACACTGTCAAGCTGTCAATCAACTATTCTATTTGTGGAAAGTTACTGCACATTCGTGAAAGCGGACGGGCTGTCGATAAAAGGAAACCGAGACTGTGTAAACAAATGCGGGACACGCGTGTCTCCAATGTACACGCGAAAAACGAGCACCGTTATTATCTTTGGTGCACGAGCTTTTAAGCTCAATTAGGAAATTTCTTTTTTTTTTTTTTTTTTTAACGTTGATGCCACTTGCTCGAAACGATTTACCTGCCACGACAAATTTATCACGGATAAATATATTTTGATATTATGACATTTGTGAAATGAATGAAAAAGTTGATGGAAGTTTTGCTAGTTAAAACGAAAAAAAAAAAAAAGTTTTAACGATATAATCGAAATCGAATCAATCGAGGAGAGATCGATTACATTTCTTGATGATCTCTGGATGATGAACCGTAATTTTATTTACAAATCATGTATCACTGGAAGGAAGAAAATTTTTATCTCGGGCGCGGCAGTTTCTCGAATCTTTTCAGACGAGAAACCTTGGAGCAGAATCGTCCATTTGTCATTGTCAGATTGCACGGATGAATTTTCCATTCGTCAAACATTCTCTCAGGCAAGGTTTCGCGATTCTGAGATGCATCGCAAGCTCAATCGATCATAATTAAGAGAGTAACATAAATTTATGGGCATAATAGTTATTTTAATTATCTCGTTGAGATAACTGATTATTTCTACGCATAAGCTATGCTTCCGATAAAAGATAAAAATTGCACTTATCGTAAATGAAGTTAATATCGCTACATCGTTGATTGAAAATAACAAAGGTATCGTTGGTATCGTTGAATCTTTATAAAAATTAAAATTATATAGAAAAAATTATTATTCAAAATTTATAGGTATTTAAAAATCATCAAAATTTAGAACATCTCGTATCATATATAAAATTGACATCATTTTTCATCCTTCAATTATTCGATGTACACCGCTACGATGTATACAAAAGAATCATTTGTCAATTGGACCAAATTCTCTTTGATCCACAACGGGTTTATCGAGGTTACGTCGGTGGCCATTCCGAAGCCTCGTCGATCGCATGATCCGGTATGAATCATTCAAGTATCAAGCCACGTAAGTATCGATGGCTCGCAAGAAAAAGGTTTTCCGATCAATAATCTGTTCTCGATAAAAGTGAATTACGATTGATGTCATCGACCCATATATATATATATAGAACGTGTAGAACAGGAATTTTCTAAATTGTAACGAGGCCACGTTTTCGTGACGATCGATCTTTTACATCGTGTGCTCGGATTCAAGATGTCATTAACCTAATTAATTCTGTGCTGTTGGGTCGCTGGTAATTCAGGGAATCGCGTGTCGCGTATCGTTTCCTCGCCTCTGTGAAACGCGTATTGTTTCTTTCTTCTTCTCCCTTCTTCTCTCTTTTTTTCTTTTCTTCTCTCAGGGACGGACTCCACGTGTTGCGTACGTATCCCACGTGCATAGTGAATTATTTAGAAATGATATGTGTTGTTCGTGCTTTCGCTCTGTACGTTCATTATTTACATTGGTGTAATAGTAATACAACACCAGACTCGTAGATTTATTATTTGTTGATCTTGTTAACAGCGTTTGTTAAACCGTGTACTTCTCTCGCAATATTTTTAAGAGAGTATATTTATTACGCAGAAGTGAGATCGAATAGCCAACTGATTTTTAAATAAAAATAGTCTTCGAATATATATATATATATATATATATATATATTTCTGCTTATTCAATTGTATTCGTTGTATTTTTTTCGATACACAGATCCCTGTTTCTATTTTCTTTGAACGATCGTCGAATATATATTTAAGAAAAGAAATGATGAATCGAAACGAGTCCGTTCGTACTAGAATTTCCGTTCCACGTGATATCTCGCAACCCGATGATTAAACCAAATAGTTAATTGTTACTTTTAACGCTAATATCGGGTGTGTAACCGTGTAAAGTTATAAATTATCGTTGCACTTTTCCACGCGATAGAGCTGTGTGCTCGCGAGTGTGTTGAAACGCGGCATTAACCTTACGAAGCTAACTGTTAATGTTTTCATAGAAGATCCACGCGGGCACGCGATATTTTAATGGCAGAGCTAGGCCATCTTAAGGTAAGAAGTAGCGAGCCGGGGGAATGGATACGGTTGTCTCGTAATTTTCAATTCATCGCGTGATTTTCTAATAATTATCGTTAAACGTCGTGTTATAAATCATACATCGCGTAAACGGAATATGTACGTACCCCTCTCTCCCCCCCTCTCCCCCCCTCCCCGCCTCTCTCGTCTTCTTCTTTCATTCAAAATCGTACGCGTCCTCTTCTCGTGTTCGTTAACGACGTTACGAACACGTATACAGAGATGTATGCACGGCCTTGTTTGCTTGAAAAATTCTTCTATAAAAATTAGAAAAATCCGGATAATTCGTGGAACAGAAGAAGAAAAAGAGAAAGAAAGAAAGAAAGAAAAGAAAAAACGTAATTTAACGTAGCAACAGAATATTGGATAAAATTATTTGAAGAAATAAATAGATATTTAATTTCAGTATGCACTCGCGTACAATAT